TTTCATGAATTCACTTGTTAAATTAATTCTTGCGTAATATACGAATGGCGAAAAATGAGGTTACAATCAAATGCAAACTCGAAATAATAAGAAATTTATAGGATAAAGATTCGTTCGTTTATCAACGTCACTAAAAATTCGAGGATTTTTCAAGATAAACTCATAAATGTTTTCCATTCCTCTTTTCTTTTCAACGAGATACGATTATTATCAGATTAAAAAACGACGAAAATTGTAGAGAACGTTTAAAACGAGATTTACATTTCTGTCTTGAATAATTTATCGATTTGCTTGCGTTCAATTTATCCAGCAGGCTTAAACAGACTCGATATTAATTTATCAAAGACTAGAAGTTACACGTTTCCGTATTCTGTAGAATAGATTATAGATTCTCGTAGATTGTAGATGCCTCGATATAGATTCGTTCGCAGGGAATCACCAGTTCACACGAATTTTTCTCGTCGATTTTACTCGAACAGAAATACACTTTTCGATGAACACAGGATCGTTAAAATTTCGTGGATTTACTCACATGTTGTTCGTCGGTCGCTGTTGGTTTCCTGAACTAGAGCTATCCGCTGACTTGCCAACCCCGTCAGATGACCGCGTACTTTTCACGAGCGACTGTCACCGACTAGACAGCCGCGGTATTGATAAAATTTCCAGCGACACCATCGCGCCGCCGCTTCACCGTTATCTCGATCTGCCCTCGAACCGTTTGAATCGTGTCTTCCATATTTTCAATTTTAACTCTTCAACGAATTTTCTTTTCTTCTACGAACGATCAATTTGATTGAAAATCTCGTCGAATATAATTATATACGAAACATACGGATTAATATAATATTCTAATGGAATTTTTCGCGTTGATGATTGAAGATCGAGAATCGATGTATCGAATACGAAAGTTCGATACGTGGCTTGGAAGAGAGAGTAATGCGCATGTACAGAAAGTTCCAGTCAATAAACGCCAGTCAGCCGCAACCCTCATGCGCAAACACACCCTGAGAGGAAGTCAGGGATGTTATCGTTGTTCTCGAGAGCCCTGACTTTTGAATCGCGAAAATAGGCCAACGACCGGCACCATTATTCTTATTATTTTGTAACTGACTAATTTATTGTTGTTATTTCGTGATCGAATATGATGCCGATATTAATAAAATGATTGAAAAACGAAGTCTCGTTTGACGATTTTAGGGGATTAATCTTTTGAATAAAATTGGATACATTTTTTTTGTTTAAAAGTACATTTCCGTGATTTAAGTTCATACGGTCCTGGTAACGCGATGAGAATACGCGCACGAGCATCCGTAAGATGTTTTATTTATGTCTTCGTTACGATTTTTGTCGCGAGGTGAGGATACCATTGTGAATTTTGCTTCGTAAAAATGTCGTTGAAGATTGGTAAAAAAAGGCGAGAAATGGATCGTTCGTCGAGTGAGTTTATTTATATATATATTTTGTAAAATTTTAAAAGATTATTGGCAACAAAAAAATTTGATAAAAAAATAGCTTATATTTATCCACTAATTTGTAATGAAAGTTGTTCATAATTTATTTTATTAGTTGAGCCAAATTTTTATTTTGTTATTACATTTTATATATTTCTAATTATATATTATTTTTCATTAAAAGTATTAAAATTAGAAAAATCTTTTTATGTTATTTATTTATAAATAGTGATATTTATTATCATTAAAATTAATCGTATAGTATTTCAGAGTAAAATAATTTTGACGTAAAAAAATATATATATTAAAGCTTTCAAATGTATTTATAATGCGCATAATTGTATTAAGATGGCAGCACGCATGTGATTTGAATTTAAGATTTGTATCATTGCAATCTTAAAAATTACATCGTGAAAGCTGATAAAAATTAATGATTGTATCTAATACTGATAACTAATGAATTAAAGATTAGATTAGAAGAAGAATCTAATTGCTTGTTACATTTCTTGATAATAATTTTCATAATAAATGTGACGTCATGGGTATCGCCATCTTTATCGTATGTCATGTACAGTTGTAAAGTGTATTCGTCATCGAAATAAAGTTGGGGATACCTGTCATTATTTTTAAACAATTTACATCCCCATTAAATATTTCATAAATTCTTCATTTTAAAGTAAGTTGTTGTAATTTTCTATTTTAAAAAAATGGTACAAATTTGTATTTCTAATAAAATATTACGATATTATAAACAGAGTACATATTTGCTTATATTTTATTATATTGTATTTAATTTAACGATATTGTTATATTTTTATTCTATTGAATAAATATAACATTTATTAAATATTATAGTAGTATTGTACACAATTGTAATTCAATGATTTTATTCGTTCAAATATTTCATAAATTTTTAGGTTATGGGTGTGTGCAGTAGTTCATACATATTGTTGCTCTATCCAAAAAAATTTTTCTTAAAATATACTTTAAATTATTGTTAATTATAATTGATCATGTTTTCCATTTCATATTTATTGTGATTATATGTGATTTTTTTGATATTCTTTTACAGAAATATGGATGGTAGTGGTAATTCTAGAGATGATATGGGTGGTCCACGAAATTCACAGCCAGCTTCTACAAAAAAGTTGCAGCAAACACAAGCAACCGTTGATGAGGTTGTGGGAATAATGAAAGTAAATGTAGAAAAAGTATTGGAAAGAGATCAAAAGTTATCAGAATTGGAAAATCGTGCTGATGCTCTGCAACAAGGAGCTACTCAATTTGAACAACAAGCAGGCAAATTGAAAAGGAAATTTTGGTGGAAGAATCTCAAAATGATGATCATCATCGGTATTATCTGCGTAATTATTTTAATCATCATCATTGGTGAGTGATATTTATAAAAAAAATAATACACAAACATAGGTTTATAAATTATAGGTTTAAAATAGATACATATTTTAATCTTTGCAATAGCTTCAATTGTGTCAGGCTCGTCGGATTCTGACAATTCCTCTAACTGATAGCATTATACCAAATGGAATATAAATGCTCTGGATTTGTTATTTTGTGTCCTAAAATGAAAGTTAACCTCACCAGAGTAAATGTTGGGCGCACAAAGTTAGACATAATGTGATCGTTAAAAATCAAGATCCGTACGGACTTGTTGAACGAATTACGATGAAGTAATATGAAAAAAAAAAAAAAGAAAAAAAAAAAAGATAAGAAAAAAAATATATTTTTGAGACTTAAACTTATTCAAGCGCATAATTATTAGATTAATTGCGCAGTATTAATATATGGGTGGCCTTTTGTAAAACTGTGAATGGACAATACATTTCATAATGTTATCTTGTTACAATGCTTATTGTACATTTATTAATGATATATAATATATAATATAACGTTTATACTTTTTTTCATCGGTATTCAAATAATTCAGGCTTCCATTTCGCCTCGTTCCTCTCCAAATATCAACATCCAATAGCTCCACGCACGATTTCTACATTATAGTTTTAATGTAATGTAGCGCCATACGATAAGAAAAGAATTCGAACTCGTCAGTGCGATCGTTCGATTCCAAAGCCGATCGTGATTACGTACCTAGAATGTTCGCGCTCATAAATATTCATGTACTGACGTTCTCTTGCGAATACCGTCATGCTTCTCAAAGTAAAGTGTCACCAAGACTATCGAATTCGGTGAAACTTGATTCGATAGAATCATCCTTCACCGGACGCGAATCTAATTTCCATCTTGTAGAAAGTGTGCAAACTTTCCTATTCTTCTTTTTCCTTATATCTTGAAACTTTGTCGTTTAAGTGAAACTGATAATAATCGTGTTTACACTTAAAATGCGCATGTTAAGAATATGTCTGCGCATTATTCGATTCGTTCATAATCCAGGAGATAATAAGATCGATGTTCTCGATCATTTGACCCGGCTAAACAAAATATCACGAACGATACGAAATTAGTGCATTGACGATGGCCAATTAACAAAGAGTGAACAATTTAGACAAATAACCCCGGATAACAGATAGTGCTAAAACCTTGAAAGGATGACGCGTGAGTCGATGGTCAAGGTCGGTCTGTGATTGAAGAACGATTTAACGGGACAAGAAAATAAAATAGACAGCTATAAGCGTCATTTCTTTTTCCTTTTTTTTTTCTTGATTATTCAATCTTATTTATAACGTTACTTTATTTTCTAGTCAAAATTGAAAAACCTGTATCTCCACATAGGAAACTGGTATTTTCTTATATTACGCTTACATTTCATAGAAGAATTTTATTTATTTCGAAAGAATGTTTGACAAACGAACAAGATTCTTTCGCACGGCATCTCGAGTAATCCCAGTTAATTCGAATTACATAATTACATCTGCGAAGCATGCAAGAGAGCATGTAATTGTAAGTGTATCATACGAGTCGATATACCGGTCGAATTATCTTTAAATTAAATAGAGATTAGTAATTATATCTAGTTCCTGATATTTAACCGTAATAATTATTTTTACGATCGTGTCAATCACCAGCTATGCCGAACGAAATGACGAAACCGCAGGTATTGAACATTATTAATGACAACGCGAAATCAAAGTCACGTGTCGAATAGTGTCAATCGACGAGGCAGGATTCTGATTTTTCCTGTAAACCGAGACAGAAATCTCTGCCGCTTCATTCATATACCTATCAGTCGGCTGACGACCGTCCGACCGGACAGTCGCTTGTGAAGCGCGTCTCGTGTCATCGATATCGTAGGTCAAACGACCCTTAAAATCATCTCCATCAATGAGAATTGTCTCGAACGTTTACCTCTCGGCACTCGTCCAACAAATATCGAGTCAAGGAATCGTGGAACGAGTGAAAGTTTTAAAAAAAATCAGAAGATCTTTTATCCTGAGTTATATTATCATCGAAAGATTTTAATTATTAAGGATTTGTTATTTCTATGCTTGCTATATTTTTTCCAATTTCTTGAATTTTATCGATCGATCAGTACGATTAATTTTTGGAATCGTAAAAAAAAAAAAAAAAAATCATAGATGTAACGATTTCAGACAGAAAGTTTGCCTCGCGGAAATCCGTATCGCGTGTTCGAAATTGGCATGAAGTATATATTGTAGAATTTTCGTAGCGTGGTGTGGTGGGGCTGGTTGTTTTTCTTTCTGTTTGGTAGTTCGACACCCGGTCTCGGCACGCGTTTCAGAACGGGTAATAGTGGGTATCATTCGAAATCGCGTTACCAATAAATATTATATCGTTGTGAGAAATATTCATTCTCGAGACGCGATACCATCGATCGTTGTAATGTGTTCGCGATCGAAACATAGATCGAATATTTTCGTTTTTCGTCAAACGATAGACATGTGACGAAACTGATAATTGTCCAGTCTTTCGAATGACGAAACGCGATTTCGCTGATGCGTTTACATTATAAACCCACGCGTAACTGACTTATCTGTACTTTATGAATATTGAGAAACGAACGAAACGGTCAGTCGGTATCGTGTTTTGGTACTGGTGTTCATGTGTGAAAAGATCGTCGAGCTCGCGAGAGGCACACTGTCGAGTGGTGATCGATTCCCGGCTAAAAGAGATCGAGGATCATTCTTCGAGAAAAAGGCGATAAATGTGTCCAAAGCGGGGATCGTGGTCGATAAGTTACAGAGGCAAGAGAGGAAGAGGAAGAAACGGCCAATAACCATTAGTGAAGTTTCGATCTAGCTCGACCTAACCTCTTTCTTTCTCCTCGTCTCGTTTTTTTTCTCTCCTTTTGCCTCTATCCTGTCTCCATTCGTCGATCTGCCCATTTCTCGACCTTCGCCACATCGCTTTAATTTTCGTATTCAGTGTCGTGCACGATTTTCGATCAATTGAAGATCCAACATGGCATCATCGTCGATCATCGAGGGAAGCGACGAGTATGGTTTGGGATATCAAAACACGTTGGTAAGTTCATTTTACTAAATACATAATCGTTTATCGTTT